GGGTAGGGCAGGCCTGGAACTCGGTCATCGGGTGCCCATGTCCACATGGCACCCACTCCTCCCAGAGGCCTCCCCCCCAATAAAGCCATCGCCATGGAGCCAATCACGGCTCACAGTCCCCGAGCAGAACCGCCTCGTCGGGTTTGCAAAGCTGCACCCCTGCACAGGGGCAGCAGCCTCGTCTTCCTTCTGCAGAGCGCTGGTGCATTCAACCTGCTCGCCTGCAGGCTAGCAGCCCAGTGCACAAACCACTGCACCCCCAGGGCTCCTCCCCTTGGCACAGCAGGACACAAAGGCCAGGGGCAAACACAGTGAGGACATAGCCTGCAGAGGTGTGTAGCCTGGGCTCCGGACAAGAGGCTGCCCCTTCAGGGGGATTGCCAACAGGACAGTGGGCACTTGCAGGCTGTTCGGGGGCTATACAGTGGATTCCGGCTCTGAGCCCCATGAGGGACAGAAGGACTGCCCCAGAGGCCGAAGTCCCTGGGCTGCAATCCTAGCGGAAGTCGACTACCACCTCCTTTCTCCAGAGGGGCAAGTGGGTGGGCTTGAAGCCAAGGTGACTTCCCACCACAGCACTAGTGTGAGGTAGGGAGAGGGGGCTGGGGGGGGGGGCCCACAGTGGGACCCAGCCCAGCTGAGGCTGAGGAGGGAGATAGTAGGGTTGAGGGGGTGTTACTCTGCGAGAGAGGAGGGGTGGGAAGCAGCCCTCAGCAGTGGGGTTTGCAGCAGGGAGGCCTGTGGTGCAGGCAGCGGCAAGATGGGGAAATTACTGGAAGTCAGAGGGTGGGAAGAGGAGGCTTTCTGAGAACCTCAGTCACACTAGGCTGGCTGTGCAGAGGCACCGTCCAGTGCTGAGCAGGGCAGGGAGCCCAGGAAGGGACTGAAAGACAGAGGGCTGTCTGAAGACTGGGACTGAATCCTGCCTCTCTGCCTTGCAGGAGGCCTCTTTGCCTCTGAACCTCAGTGTCTTCCTCTTTTTTGTTGTCAGGATGAACTGGGACAAGCACGTGGTGTGGAAGCACATTGTGAACTTATCAATAAATTTAGCAACGTGCACCTGTGGACTCGTGATCGCCCTGGATGTAGAGTTGGTAGTTTTTGAGAAATGAAGTCACTCACAGGGGCCCAGGGCCGCCTGTAACCTGCTCCTGTGCTGCCACCTGCTGGCAAGTGTCTACAATGGCAGCCCAAGCTCTCTAATCCTCCCAGACTCCCAGGGGAAGCACTAACCTTGGAGGGGCCCAGGACAAGAGGGCAAATGGGAGTCGCCAGGCCCCTCAGCAGCCTGCCCCCTTCTGGTCTTCCCAGCCTGTGTCTGCTCTCCCTGTGAAGCTGTTCACGTGTGTGAACACGGGGCCACCCTCCCAGCAGCAGTGAGGAGGTCTGCCTGCTCTGTGGCAGGGTCCGGCCCTGGGAGAGGAATACTGTGCCCTGGACACGCAGAGCAGTAGTCTAGAGGGGTCTGTGGGCTCCATGGGCACACCTCCGGGTCTTGTGGTGCAGGGCCTCTGGGGGCATGGCTTAGGGTGAGGGCTTGGCTTGGCCTCGGGGGTGCTGGACCTCAGCCCTGCACGTCCTCTGTGAGCACAGCAGAGCTGTCAACCACCTTCACGTGGCCTGACCAGGTCACGCACCGCACCCCTGCTCTGAGACCACTTGGGCTGCAAGACCCACTAAGCCTCCCTGCTGGGCCCCTCTCACTCCTCTGCTCCTTTTCTAAGGGTGTGTTGTGAGGTGCAGTGCTGGGGGAGGGAAGGAGGAGGAAGAGGATGGGTGTTCTCCTGGAGCCCCTTTTCATTGGGGCCCCAAGGAGGGAGAGTTCAGCCTTAGACTGTTTTGGGGCACCTATATACCTGGAAGGAAGATGACTCACCCCTGACTCTAAGGAAGGCGTGGTGGGAGGTGACTCCTCTCCCACCCCCCCTCTAACACCTCAGTCAGTGGCTTCAGTGCTGAGCAGGAGACCTAAGCAGAGTTAATCAACAGGGAGACCAAGACTTCTCTCGCAACTGGGGTAATGGGGAAGGAGCTAGGACAGAAGGGACCAGCAGCCCGTCTTGAGCAGGACAGAGAGGCACCGTGTGCACAGAAGTTGGTAGCTGTTTATTGCACTGAAAACACCAGGAATGAAACAGACACCCTGCCTCCCACCCCCAGCCCCCCAATAGCAGAAAGTTTGAGCAGTGGTCATTCAAGTTCACAGCCACATATTAAAAAAAAAGGAACTGAAGCTCCCCCCAAAAAACAAATGGTAACAAGGAAACCAGCACGGGGATGGGGAGGCATTGGGTGTGGGGGGGGTGTGTGTGTGCCACACGGTGGACCCAAACCCAGGAGAGAACTTTCCCGTAACCACCCTGCACGGCCAAGCCCAGCTTTGTGCCCAGGTTTGGCTTTTTTTGCATCTATAGGTCAGTTTGGAGGAGCACAGGGACTTGTCTGGTTCGGCTGGGCCCTGGGTGGCTTTTTCTTCCAGCATCACCTGCCTGCTGCCTCCAGGGAATGCCCAGTGCCCTGGGGTCTACCCCGGGGGGCTGTCTGACCACAGGAGTGGCCGTCACAATGAGGCCATCTCAGCCCGGGGTGGGGGCTGCCTCTGTGTCTCTGGCACTTGGAGAAGAAAGGAGGGGCACAGAGTACAGGAGAGGTGCTGCCCAATGAGAGGCAGGACCTTGGGGGCCTCTAGCTCCACTTCCTCTGCTGGGGAAACCGAGGCCCAGAGAGGGGAAAGGACCTGGCCAAGGCCACATAGCTGGGAGTGGAAGCCACTAACCTCCCAAACAGTGCTCCTTCCCCTGCAGCACTGCTAAGCAGTTGACGGGCACCGAAGAGGGGACCCCGGGGCCGCAGGTCAGGGAGGGAGCAGAGGGCGGCCACACCGGGGGAAGCAGGAGGCCAGGCTGCGGCCAAGAAGCTCTCCTGCTGCACTGGGCTTCACACCATTAGGTTGTATGTCCCCATCAGCCTGACAACGCAGGTTGGGTAGCAACCTTCAACCCTTTTAACAAACAGGGAAACTGAGGCTGCAGAAGGGGGACCAGGCCTTATCACAATAATTGCAGTGTCTCCTGGTGGGGGCCACACCTGCCTTTGGCCTGGGAATGGCTGTGGGGAGCTGGGTGCCCGTGGGCAAGGCCAGTGGCTGTAGGCTGGGGCACTGGGATCACTGGTCTTTCAGCCATGCCCTCTGGGCCCGGGGCAGCTAAGTGCCTGCCCTTGGATGTGGGCAGTGGGCTCTCTGCCAATGACAGAGGCCGTTGAGGGTCTAGCGTAGAAGCCAGGGGCCCTGGGCAGGCTCCTCCTGGCCTGTAGCCCCTGCCCAGCCTGTCTGAGCTGCCCACATTCTTCTTCAGGCCGGGTAGCAGGAGCAGAGCTGGAACATGGCAGACAGTGGGCGATCAGGGACAATTCAGATCAAACCCCGCCACCAGCCCTACTCCAGATAATAGCCCCTGGGGACTCCTTGAATGGTCGGGGGTACCGGAGCCCTGTCCAGGTCCTGGGGATGCAGTGCCCCCCTGCCCCCCAACATCCTCCAGGGGGGACAGTATCTCGTGCTGGCAAAGCAGGGCCACGCAGATGCCAGAGCACAGAGAGGCAGTGACCTGACCCCCGAGTCGGACACTGAGAATACGACCTCTGCTTGCTTTTCTCCTCCAAAAACATGAAGATTGGTTTTGCTTGAGTGCGTCTTCTTCTTTTTGTTGTTTGTTTTTTCAACATATTTACTGCATATAAAGTCATGCAAAGAAAACAGTGCAGACAGTAGGTCCTGAGGGGATGCGTCCGTCACCCTCGGGGGAAGAGGTGGTGGGGAGGGCCTGCAAACCCAAGATTGGGGGAAAGCATGGAGGGGGAGATTCCCCTAGTCTGCTGGCAGTCAGATGGCCAGGGGGGAAATCAATGAAGACACAAGCTTTATGGCCCCCCCTGAGGTGGGCAGGGGACCCAGGGGACAAGCGGATGTGATAGGAGGGATGGGTGGGATCTAGAGAAGCTTAGATAGTCCTGTCCTGACAGCCTCCCCCTGTCTGTGCTGACCGGCTGCTTCTTTTCCAGCACTGACATCGGAGGTTCCCACAAGCCCCAAAGAACTTCTATAAGCTTCAGAGAGGTCCCCCCCCTGCCCCCGCCGCCCCCCACCAGGGCTGAGTCCAACTAGGTCCCACAAGTCCACTGGTGACAAAGTCCACCTCAGAGATGACGCACGATTAAGTGAAATTAAATTAAAACAGGAGATATGGAACAGAAAAGATCTACCCCTCACCCCTCTTCCCACCCCCATCCCACCCCTCCTCTCCGTAACTGGAGAGGGCTAGTGATTACATAAACACCCATGAGCCGGAAACCCATTTACGAAATACACGGAAGTCTGGCTATAAAAAGGCATGCGGTCCAAGTAGAAGCGAAACCTACACGCTGCTTTCTTTCTCCCCGAGAAACACCAGGGTTCCCTCCCTGGGATTCAGAGGTGCTGGAATTCACCCCAGATGAGTTGGGGATGGTGGTCGGGTGGGTCACGTGTTGGAGGTAAACATCACCAGGGAGCGGGGGAGTGGGGGCAACCTGAGAGGACATGCCCCCCACACAGAGGGGG